GTTCTCGACTTTGATTTGGCATAGGAGAAGAAATACTTTGGGTTTCTTTCTACATATTTCATTTATGGCTTTTAGTTCTTCCCACGATTCCTGACTCCTATAAGATGCCTTTAGCTTAAGTTTGATGCTTGCTATTTCTCTGACCAGTGTCTCCCTACGCATTTCAGATATATTGACCTCTTTTAGCCGCTCTGTTATTCTTTTCCGTCGCCTGTAAAGGGAGCGCCTGTCTCTTTCTATTTTACATCTACTCCTCCTTTTTCTTAGAGGAATAAGCCTTGTGCATACATCGAGTGCCACCAAGTTAATCTGTTCTAGGCATAAGTTGGGGTCTGTGTTGCTTAGTATATCTTCACAGCTTATATCGGTTAGGACTTGGTTTACTTGGTCCCACTTTGTTTTTGTTATTGAAGTTGAAAAGCACTCAAAATCATATCTATTTCTGTAATATATCTTTCATTCTATCAAATGAGACCGAAAAAACGAGAATATAACCATAACAACCATACAAAAATTTACCGCTAAGTGGCCGCTAATGGATGAGAAGTGAACTCCGCTATTTATGGTCTGATTTCTTTCATTTTTGGTGTACGTTAAGAGGTATCTTTCCATCATACATTGCCCAAGTTTCAATAAGATAATCAAACAAACAATTGAGAATATAACAATAAATTTTTTTTTTTATTATCACACTGGCTGATTCCCACCAAGGCAGGGTGGCCCGAAAAAGAAAAACTTTCAACATCATTCACTCCATCACTGTCTTGCCAGAAGGGTGCTTTACACTACAGTTTTTAAACTGCAACATTAACACCCCTCCTTCACAGTGCAGGCACTGTTCTTCCCATCTCCAGGACTTAAGTCCAGCCTGCCGGTTTCCCTGAACCCCTTCATAAATGTTACTTTGCTCACACTCCAACAGCACGTCAAGTATTAAAAACCATTTGTCTCCATTCACTCCTATCAAACACGCTCACGCATGCCTGCTGGAAATCCATGCCCCTCGCACACAAAACCTCCTTTACCCCCTCCCTCCTACCTTTCCTAGGCCGACCCCTACCCCACCTTCCTTCCACTACAGACTGATACACTCTTGAAGTCACTCTGTTTCGCTCCATTCTCTCTACATGTCCGAACCACCTCAACAACCCTTCCTCAGCCCTCTGGACAACAGTTTTGGTAATCCCGCACCTCCTCCTAACTTCCAAACTATGAATTCTCTGCATTATATCACACCACACATTGCCCTCAGACATGACATCTCCACTGCCTCCAGCCTTCTCCTTGCTGCAACATTCATCACCCATGCTTCACACCCATATAAGAGCGTTGGTAAAACTATACTCTCATACATTCCCCTCTTTGCCTCCAAGGACAAAATTCTTTGTCTCCACAGACTCCTAAGTGCACCACTCACCCTTTTCCCCCTCATCATTCTATAAAATTCACCTCATCTTTATAGACCCACCCGTGACACCCCCACCCCAAATATCTGAAAAAATTCACCTCCCCATCTCTCTCCCTCCAATCGTATCCAATCTTTTCCCTTATTTTTTGTTATCCTCATTCCCTTTACCTTTCCGTATTCACTTTTAAATTTTTTTCTTTTTCAACCCCACCAAATTTATCCCCCCCCCCCTGCAACTTCTCTTCAAATCTCCCAAGAGCACAGTGTATCAGCAAAAGAGCAACTGTGACACTCCCCCTTTGTGTGTTCTTTATCTTTTTTAAATCCCAAAGCCCTTGCCAAAACCCTCGCTTTATTCTCTTACAACCCCATCTATTAATTATTAAACAACCACGATGACATCACACATCCTTGTCTAGGCGTATTTTTACTGGGAATAATTTCCCTCTTCTACAACTTACTTGAGCCTCAATAATAATAAATAATAAAATTTTAATAATATATTTACTACCGTCCCAGTAAAATTATATACACACAACTAGCTGACATCATGACATACTACTATATAGAAAGCCGCTGTTATGCAGAGTATTTTCTAAGCAAATAGGTCCATGTCCACATATACACCACACCGATCAACTAACACCCAAGGTACCCATTTACTGATGGGTAAACGTAGACAACAGGTGTAAAGAAACACGCCTAATGTTTCTACCCTGGCTGGGAATCGAATATTTACTAAAAATCATATATGGCTAACCCAAGCCAGGTACTAAAAATAAGCCATGTTGACTTTTTTGGGTTATCCTAGGTTCTCTACACATGCTGCTGTGTGAGATAATCTATATAGAGAAAATAACTTTTTTGTTTCAGGATTATGGTGCAGTACGAGTGTATATCACAGTTAGCCCTGTGCTATACTCCGTTTTCTCTAATATAAGCCCCCAAGACAGGGATATTAGAAAGGTATTTGTATACCATATCCTCTTCATACCTCTGTTCAACTGCTCGGTATTATACCAAATATTATTCATTCTGTTATTTATATTGTTTATTATGTCATATTAGATCAATTGTGATAGGCAATAAGCTGTAGTGTTGATATTAGCGTAATAATAAAGCATATTCTCCTGCATCACGAAACTGAGCTCATGGCAACCGACAGTGGCTTCCAAGCCACCTTATATTTAATGGACAATGTACTGTGTAGGTGCATTACACAGCGAGAAGCATTTCTTTTATTCATTGGAACCATGGCTAGGGCTAAAAGTAAGCAGGTTATAACAATAAATGGAGAAAAAGAAATTAGAATGACTTATGCAGCAAATAGCACCACCAAACAGTAAAAGCAGGTTGGTGTGGCAACCCTGGAAATTTGAAATTATGCTAGCCAAAATTAGTGCCGAATAACTGAAGGAACTGAATAACTGATTGCTGGATTTGTGATGGCGGACCTGTACATATTATTATTATTATTATTATTATTATAAAACTCTTGCTTACCATGTCGCATTTTTATTCACACACAAAATAGGAGATTTACAGTTATGCAGACTACTGCATTATTGTAATAATTGTATAAATAATGTCAACTCATTCATGACTGCGTATTTGGAATAGCTACTTGGACAGGTATTGTTTACTCTTGAACATCAGCAAAAATCGAACATTTCTGCTACTTTGAGCTCAATTTCAAGGTACTTTTTGTAATGAAATCAATCAAATGATATCCATTTCTGTAATATATCTTCCATTCTATCAAGTGAGACCCCCCCCCCCCCCAAAAAAAAAAAAAAAAAAAAAAAAGAATACAACCATAAAAACCACACAAAAATATTTTGCTAAGGGATGGCTAATGGCTGAGAAGTGAAGTCCGTTAGTTATTTATGGTCCGATTTCTTTCAATTTTGGTGTAAGTTAAGAAGCATCTTTCCATCATACATTACCCAAGTTTCAATAAGATAGTCCAACAAACAAATGAGATCCAATTCCCTAGATCAAGAGCAAGAACCCCTCACCAGCGTCAAGTAACTTCCCTTGAGGCCTGCTCGCTTATGGAAATTTCGCTCGTGTGTGGAAGCAAAAAATCAATCGAGCGACTGCTCATGTCTGAGAAAACTCGCAAGTGCGTGCACTTGTAAGCAGACGTTCCACTGTATATTGAAATAAACAGAATAGAGGAAATCAACTCTAATATACATTATTTAGGTATAAATACTGGTCAGAGAGCCTGTCATAAGTCCAAGTCATTAGTAAACGAGTATGTCGCTAAGTGAGGAGAGGCCGTATTAAATTCATCTAGGTAGTAGGTTGGTAGACAGCAACCACCCAGGGAGGTACTATCGTCTTGCCAAGTGAGTGTAAAACGGAAGCCTGTACTTGTTTTACATGATGGTAGAATTGCTTGTGTCCTTTTTCTGTCTTATAAACATGCAAGATTTCAGGTACATCTTGCTACTTCTACTTACACTTAGGTCACACTACACATGCATGTACATTCGTATATATATACTGTATACATGTACATACACCCCTCCGGGTATTCTTCTGTTTTCTTACTAGTTCTTGTTTATTCCCTCTTATCTCCATGGGAAAGTGGAACAGAATTCTTCCTCAGTAAGCTATGCATATCGTAAGAGGTGACTAAAATGCCAGAAGCAAGGGGCTAGTAACTCCTTCTGTATACATTAATAAAATTAAAAAAAAAAAAAAAAAGAAAACTTGTTTTTCTTTTTGGGCCACCCTCCTTCGATGGGATACAGCCAGTTTGTTGAAAGATTAAATTCATGAGAAATTGCGAAATCTGTAGGGATTATACAATGCTTCAGAGTGAGAAGCAATTAGGCTTGCTCCAAGGAAAAGGAGGATACCTCCAAATTTATAAATTGCCTTTCATTAATATCATGGCACCTTCAAGGAATGTTTCTGTTAACTACTAGTCTGTCCGCCTCAAGGCAGAAATCGTTTGCTTTCATCTATTACAATCCTCGAGGAACTTGTAGAATGTTAGATTTTACCTGATCATCCTGCCAATTACTTCATCGAACAGTGCAGCAAGTGGTAATTATCATAGAGGCTTAGACAGGTGAAAGAGATCTCGCAGTGTGTGTGATTGAGTGTAGCTTGGCATCCAGTATGGCCAACAAGTAATCTGTGACATCACATGCAGTACCTTTATAAACAGAATACGTGAATTACATTTTTCTCAGAAGTGATAAACAAAGCTTTCCCACAATTTTAGAACACGTGGAAATGTTGCATCACTTTTCTTGTTAAATATTTTCCTTTTCTACATTTTCCCTTTAGGGGAAGATAGAGCAGCTGAATCCTTTCCTTGTAGTTACTGTAGTACAACCTTCAGATCCCAACAGGCAAATATCCGGAGCTTATATCTTCCTTTTACTCTTTTGTACATTTGTAGCAAGACCACGTCTATACTGCCATTAATATGTATTTTTTGTTTTTTGTCACTGTTCAAACCCATTAGCAAGATATGGAAAGACAGTAATGTTCTTGTAGATGTGAAAATTATCATATAAAGACTCCCTACTTAGTAAGTAATTACTTAAGATAAATTCTTGAAAATTTCCAGAAATGCTGGAATGTCTTACATATTAGGAGAGAATTGGCGTGACTACTTTGATGTTGTGGTTGCTAATGCCAAGAAACCAGCATTCTTCACAGATAGCATGAGACCTTTCCGTGAGCTCAATGAAGAGATACACGTACAAACTTGGGGACCAGTAACCAGTCTGGATAAAGGCAAAATATATTTAGAGGTAGGTTTTTATTGAAATATCAAATGTTTACCTGTTTCCCTTTTATCTGTAATTCATTTCCCACACAGTTATTTGGAGGGAACAAGGGCTTAAAGAAACTCATCCCATTCGTGCCTGTCCTTAATTTATTTAGTGCATTTAATTAAATTTTCCATTGAGCTTCAGTTTTGTTTGCTATGCCTGCCACACTGGTTTCTTGAGTGAGGTTTTTCACCTCCATTTACTAAGTCTTTCCCACAACACTCTTCAGCCTCAAACAGTCTGCAGTCTCATAGCAATATCTGTAATTGTTATATTTTTCATAATCTCATTTCTCTTAGGTGCTCATCTTTGTGATCTTATCCTTATTACTTTGTACTGCAGATATCACGTTTGGGAGAAATGTGTGATGTGAATATTGTGCAGAGAATTTGGAACGTAAAAAATTAAAAGATGTGGGGTCACCAGGTGTATAATTCAGAGGGCTGAGGAGAGGTTGTTGAAGTGGATTGAGCATGGAGTGAGGCTGCAGAGGGATACCTAGAGTTTACCTGGAGAGGGTTTCGGGGGCCAACACCCCCGCAGCCCGGTCTGAGACCAGGCCTCATGGTGGATCAGGGTCTGATCAACCAGGCTGTTACTGCACGCAAGCTGACGTACGAACCACAGCCTAGGTGTATAAATCTGGGGTGGAAGGTAGGAGGGATAGGGGTCATCCCAAGAACAGTTAGAGGGAGGGGGTTAAAAGATGCTTTAAATTTTAGGGGCTTGAGTATCCAGCATGCTTGTGAGAGTTTGTTGGATGGGAATAAATGAAGAAGTGGATTTTTTTTTAATCTTGTTTTTGGAGTGTTGGTAAGGTAACTTTTCATGAAGGGATTCAGGGAAAGCTGGTTAGCTGGATTTGAGTACTATAGGTAAGAAAGGCACTCTGCACACTGAAGATGTGGCAGGAATGTTGCAGCCAGAGGGTAATCTGGTTGTGATGTTGCTTCTGGAAAGACAGCAGTTAAATGAATGATGGTGAATGTTTTCTTCTTTGGGTTACCCTGCCTTGATGGGAGGTGGCCATTGAGTTAAAAAAAAAAAATACATATATTTTGATGTGTAATATATAATTTATGATTCATATTACTGGTATGTGCACACTGTCTATGCTGGGAGGAAGGTTGTCATCTCCCTGACTGAAAATTTACTGCACAGAACACCACCCAAAAAAATGTACATAATTTTGTATATATACAGTTATTTATTAACCTTTACCAATTAAGTGTAATCCCAAAACATATGAATAACATAACACAAAATATCACCTCATATGGTGAAAAAGTAAGAAAAAATATACAATTTAGGTTTAATAAAATTGTACAGTGGAACCTCTACTTGCGAGTTTAATCTGTTCCATGACCTTGCTCGCAACTGGATTTGCTCGTTTGCCGAGTCACTTTCCCTCATTTAAATTAATTGAAATGCAAATAATCCGTTCCAGTGGAATTCTGTACTTCAATAATTTCGCTAATATCAACTCTACGGCATATTTATCTATCTCGCTCCATCTAATATGACATAATAAACAATATAAATAACATAGAAACTTGATATATACTCTAAAATGAATAAAATATGTCATTCATGTAGTGGCATGGGCGGTGTCAGTGGTGGATGAGAGCTTGTCTGGAGACCGGGCAAAATACTTGAATAATTGAGATACAATTCCCGAGATCAAGAGCAAGAGCCCCTCACCAGTGTCAAGGACCCTGCCTTGAGGTCTGCTCACTTAGGGAAATTTTGCTCGCATATGGAAGCAAAAAATCGACCCATCGACTGCTCGTATTTGGAAAAACTCGCACATGGACACGCTCGCAAGTAGAGGTTCCACTGTATTTATTAAATCTAATTCTTTTTTTTTTATATTCTTATATGCATTATACCAACATAAACAGAATTTGAATGCATTTGGTGAAAAAACATCTTAGAAAACTATTGAAAATAATTTCTGGCTTGGCACCTAGAATTTTGCGAAATGTTTTAGCTAGAAATTTAGTTATGGCAGACTGCCCTTGGCCCAGAGAGTTCAAGTTGAGTGCTTGCTTTGAGTACATTAATGTTATTATGGGACTCTGCTGTATATGAATATAGTGTTGCAAATGGCAAGGTGAACCAAGGAAAAAAATATTAAGCATCACACTGCACTCTTGACTGCCTTTCTTGAAGTGCACAGACTTCACAATATGAGTGTTGACCTGCTGAATGAGAACCTACCCTAATTTTAGGAATAAAGCAAAATAATTCATACCGCAACTGTCTTCTAATTTTTTCATTAAGTAATCTCTGCGTAACATTAAATCCATAGCCTAATCTCAGACATTTTCATTGCCTCCTGCTTCTAACATTTAGTAGTTTTACTTCATGGCCAAATAAAAGGAGTTAGTTAAATTATGTATAATATTCTTTATACATTTCCAGTTTTGCATCCACTAACAAATGCTCTCTCCAGAAGCTCTTTTCACACTAGTTCAACTTTCTTTCCTTTTTACATTCATTGGTTTACCTCCTCATGGAAAACACTATACATCGAAGCCTAAATATCTAAATGCATTCACTTAATCTAGTTCCTTACCTCAACTTTCCTATACTCACTCCTTCATATTCTCATCACTGTAATCTTTTTTGTATTCTCTTTAAATTTTCCTTTTGCCCACCCTTCCAAACTCCTGTACCAACCTCTTCAGCTTCTTTTCTGTAGTATAGTGTGGTAATAACCCTAATACACTTTATAATTGCTTTAACGATAATCGCTACTATCGTAGGTGTTGTTGCCTGTACTTTTGGAACTTGTCTATTTATTGTCTGTGCCTTATTACTCCCATAAAATTATTAGTCTTAACATTTTTATGTACTGTTTCATGTTTGCCAACTCTGTTTTGAAGTGATTGTTTCCTTATACTGTACTTGTATAAAAGATTTTATTTTATTCTAATTAACTATGGCAATTTTTATTACTGTGTTTTATTCATTTCAATCAGATGTTGCAGGTGTATGGTGTAGGAGGTAGGTTACTGAAAGCAGTGAAGTTTTTACGAGGATAGTGAGGCTCAAGTTAGAGTATGTAAGTGTTGCGAATAAGAAATTTTTTAAAGAACTTCAGAATGTGGCCTGTTACCATTTATTTCTTATGCAACAAGATTTTTGGATCCGAGTTCTTTAAAGGTCTTTTAGAGTCTAGGGGAAATAATTTCAACTGGAAACTCCATAGAATAATATTCAAATTTATTAAAGTATTTAAATACAATACTTTATCTTCTCTTTGTAGTTAATTTAACTTAATACTTTGTACAATAAATTTACCATATACATTTAGTTCAAAATCATGGAAATGTCACATTAATAAGGAAGTTTAATTATTCTTCCTGTATCTAAGTCCTCATGTCTCTTTCTTAACAAGATCTTTCTTAACAAGATTGTAAAGTCAAAATACAAAAGATACAAGATTTAACAAGACCTTTGAATCTGGCCGTAAAGTATCTATGGATTACTGAACTGACCAAGAATATAAATATCAAAAGAGTCTTTCAGAGTAATGAGGAACAAAGTGAGTCAGCTCTAGAGTCCAATTCTCAAAACCATTCAAACTGTACACCGTAAGAGCCAATATACGATCAGTTGTCAGGGCTAGAGCAGGGAGCAGACTGACTACTTGCCAGTCTGTTGACGTGTCGTCAGGTTGGATCAGCTGAGCCACGTCAGCCAGCCGGACATAAACAACTGAACAATTCACCGGATGGTTCCGAGACTTAAACTCTATATACACAAGAAATCCTACCTAACCATAATAGTAAAATAATAGTGATAATTACAAAATAGTGATAATAACGATAATAGCAATAATAAAATAGTGATAATACCATGGTATTTTTCATATATTAACAGATACATAATAATATAACGCCGAAAATCTCTATTTTAGCTATAAACGGGGACTTTCGCGCTATAATATTAAGTGATGAGCATATGCTCTTACAATATTTAAATAACACAGGATGACCAATTTCAAAGATATAACACCCCCCCCCCGTACGACAGTAGGTTGCAGTAGGGAGTTTGCAAGCGTCCTTGGTAATATCTCCTTTATAGTAAGCGTCCTCTTGGTAAATAAGGCAAGTAGTACGACGGAAGAATGGAGAAGCAAGAACTCGAACAGCATGGTTATTTGCCAGAGGATGAGCTTTTGGAACAATGGCCAGAAGAACTATCTGGAGTGGCTTCCATCACAATTCGAGAATAGGAGTCTCGGACATGACTGTCAGGGTCATCCATGTGTACTTAATACTTCGTCCCATCAACGAAATGGCTTTCATAGTCATACTGTCAATATAAAAGAAAACCATTAACCCTTTGACTGTCGTGGTCGTATATGTACGTCATAGGAGATACCGTGTTTGACGTATCTATACGCATAAATTCTAGCGGCTTCAAATCAAGCAGGAGAAAGCTGGTAGGCCCACATGTGAGAGAATGGGTCTCCATGGTCAGTGTGCACCATATAAAAAAAATCGGGGAGCCAGTGGTGCATTGTGGGAATACCATTTCAGTCCTCCTTTTTCAGCATGTCTAGCAGTAAGAAATATGTGACTTCCCTGCAAATCTGGGACTCTTCTCTTCCCAAGTGATGCTCTAACACAGATGGAAGTGTCATTGAAGATCAATTTCATGATTTCGAGGAGTTTGAGACCAAAAGCAATGGAGGAGGTGGAGGAGGAGGAAGAGGAGGAGGAAGAAGAGGAGGAGGAAGAAGAGGAGGAGGAAGAAGAGGAGGAGGAAGGAAGGAGGAAGAGGAAGGAAGGAGGAAGAGGAAGGAAGGAGGGAGGAGGAGGAAGGAGGGAGGAGGAGGGAGGAGGAAGAAGGAGGGAGGAGGAAGAAGGAGGGAGGAGGAAGAAGGAGGGAGGAGGAGGAAGGAGGGAGGGAGGAGGAGGAAGAATAAGAAGAAGAATAAGAATAATAATAATACTAATACCTAATTA